ATTCCCCCGCCTGACTTTCCTGGAAGTCTAGAGGGAAGCTGGCACCGGCCCGGAGGTTAAGGATCCCCCTCTCCCTTCCCCGTGTCCCCAGGCTGGTCCCCAGCCCTTCACTCCGACGATCGTGGACCTGAAGCTGACAAGGTATCGACTCTGGAATCTGGGAGGGAGGGGGGCCCTGAAACCCTGAAGAAAAGAAAACTTCAGCCGCTCCCTTGAGGGACAACGATTCTCCGGAGAGGAGGCAGTCCCAAACTTCCCCTGGGCCCTTAACAACCAGGTAAACTGAGGCCTGGCGGGCCGCTGCCCGCCCCAGCCCAGAGCCCGCGGGCAGGGCAGCGCGGAGCAGCAGAGCGCGCCAGCCGCGCCCCCCTCCTGGCCGCGCTCCAGCCCGGCCCCTGGAGCCGCCTCTCCCCCTCTGATGTAAGCTGATATTTTAATTCTCTTACAAGGAATGGTGTTTAGAGAAATGACTTAACCGGATTACTCATCGTCTATAATGACTTGGCCCGACTCCGAGGCTATTCCTAGACGTGACGCTTGAGGCTTTGATTCTTTCCCTCTTTCCTTTTGCTCTTTTTTTTTCTTAATACCAAGAAATTACAGCCCTGCTTACGCGACGGCCCAGCCCCTACACGCCCCCGTTGCACGGCATCCCGGGAAATGTAGTTCTCCCCTGGCCCCGGCGCGCCCCCCTCGCTTAGCGCCCCCGCCCGCGCCGGTCCCGCCTCGTCTCCGCCCAGTGCGGGACTGGGACCGGTCTGGCGGGCCGAGATCTTTTACTCTCTACAGGCCTCAGTTTACTCATCTGTCAAATGGGAGGGACAGTCCTACAACATAGGGTTGAAGGGTCAGCTGAGATCTTAAGTGTTATTAAAACGCCATACAGGCCCCACGTTTTAAAAATTCCTTGTGCAGTGCATTTTGCACTGACCTCCAGTCTAGACTTCCACCAAGCTTTAGTTATCCTGATCCTGGGCACCTAGACAGCCCTTCTTTGCTCCTTACTGTTTGTGGGTGAGCCTATGAACTTGTCTAGCACTCTCTGGTTCTCAGCTGTAAAAGGGGATAGATATAGTGCCCCCTTCATAGGGCTGGGTGATATTAAATGAAATAATCCGTGTGCAATGCTTGGCACAGTGTCTGACAGGGCACACTGGTCAGAAGCGTTTTCACTCCTCCCAGCACCACGTCTTGGCTCAGTACCTGGAGTCAGTGACTGATTATCAGAAGCCTATAAGGTTGGCAGGGGCTGCATCTTCTGCTCCATAAGGTTAGGGACTTCGTTCTGGGCATGGCTGTGTCCCAGTGTCTAGCTCAGTGCTGGCACATGGTGAGATTACATGACACAGGTTGGAAGAATGGATGAATGAATAAAGGAAGCGTTATCCCCACTTTCCAGATGAGGCACCCGAGGCTCTGAGAGGTTAAGTGACTTGTCCAAGGCCACACAGCTGGGATGAGTCTGAGCGGGGATGAAAATCCAAATTTCCTCTCCTTGGCCTCTGCCCACTTGCTCCCAGGGCAATTTGACTTTCACCCTTCAGGCTCGGTAAGTTAAAAATCTTGGGTTTCCTCGCTGCTGGGATCTGGTGGGGAGGGCTGGGGTGGGGAGGTGCACCCAGCCCAGGCCTAGCCCAACAATGGAAGTTGTTCCGGATTCAGCTAGATGTTGGAGGGAACCTATAGCCAGGTGCAGATGTAGCTCCCAGTGTGGACAAAGCTCGGTAAGCTAGTTTTCACATGCCCTGGGGATAGTGACCAAAGCTCTTTCAGGCACCAGTTGACCCTTGGGGATCTGGGACTCTGATCACTATCCCTTCACCCCCAGCAGTTCCCCAAAGGCCAAAAGCTATTCTTGTCTTTTTCTAAAAGAGGCATTTGAAACCATGAGCCAATTTTTTCCATTCCTGAGCTTGGGTATCATCTATTTTGGGCATTTGTTGTTTTCCATGAGTTGCAAATGCCACTGCGAAGCCGGCCTTTCCTGGACAGCTAGCTGGGGGGAGCAAGGCGGGGCCAGCGTTAAAAATACTTCCCGCTTCATTTCTCCTTTGAAAACAAAGCCCTGGGGGCCTTTGGCAACTGTTGAGCCTGGGAACTGAGCTTCCCGGGGCAGAAAACTGGCCATGCGTTCTGTGTCCTGAGTGCACTGGATGGGCTTCCAGGTCCCAGAAGAAGCAATGGCACTGACTTTGCTGTGTGACTTTGAGCAATTTGCTTAACCTCTCTGAGCCTCGTGGCCTCCTCTCTAAAATTAGGCCAAATAGAGAGATGATCTTGAATGATCCCTACAGCTCTGAGAGCTCCAGGATGGGAAACACCCCCAGGGCCATGTTTTCTTTCTAAAATGGGCCAAGAAGAGGTGTGAGGACATGGAGGTGGGAGTTAGAAGGCAGCTTTTAGCTCAGTCTTTGGGAATACTTTGTAAGCTCCTGACTCCTGAAAGTATTCTAAGAGGGACTACAATCTAGAATGTTCTCATCAGGATTCATGTAATCGCAAAAAGATTAAGTTCCATCAAGAGGGGATTAATTACACTGTAGTAGTTCACAGGAAGGCACACTGCCCAGCAGTTACAAGAGGGAAGCCAATCTGTGTTCTAACAAGGAAAGATCTCCAAGAGCTATTGTTGACCAAAAAAGCAAGTTCTGGAATGGAACAATCAGAATTGTATTATTTATTTAAACACACACATTTAAAAAAGCTGCATATTTTTCTACACCCTGGATACATCTATTTATGAAAATCCATAGGAGCAGTTCTGGAAGACTTTACCCAATCTGAAAATAGTCCTTACCTCTGGGACAGAGAGGGAACTGGATTTGGGTAGTAGCATCAGAGGATTGATTTATTTGTAACGTTTTTACAGGAAGACTGTGTTTACTTATTAGTGAGGGTTTGTTTTTCTGATTGAGACACACAGACACCAAGACATTGAGGGGCTGGGTGACCCCTCTCAGGCACCCTGGGCTGGGATCCTGTGGTTGGAGGGTGCAGGAGCAGAGTGGCTGTGGTGGGAGAGAAGATGTGTGAGGCAGAGGCTTGAGCAATGGAAGTGTTTATGCTTTTAGGGAAGCAAATGGAGATGTCTTTCTTGCACAGGATTTATTGGCCTTGCAAATTACTTTCTATTGCAAATAGTTGCCTCAGGAGGCAATTAAATTTAGATCATATTGTTCCCAGGTTGGCACAGGCAGGTGCTGACTTGCTGAGGCTTCGCACAACAGCCACGGTCTGTAAGAGTGTGCCCACTGCCTGGATGGCAGTATAACCCTATCCTGTGGTGGGAGGAGCTGCTGCTCTGCTAGTGAGTTTCTCATCAGTGGGGTATCCAATCCAGGAAGGAGGGGTTGGCCTAGATTTTCACTCTGAGGGCAGGATCCAGGTCTCCATCCCCAACCTTGGGCATAGTGCCTGCTCCTATCAGTGTATACAGAATGGACAAAGGTGTGAGCTTCCTGATGGCATTCCATCGTAGTGTCTCCCACCACAGCCTTGGCTCTCCTGGAGGGGACAGTGGCTTGTAAACTAGGAAGTGGGATGTGCTGTTATGATCACTGTTACAATGATTGTTTGGGGCAGCTACTAAATATTGAAGATGATGTGTATATAACCAACACTACAGGTGCTGGCTCTTACAAACCAACCCTTTATGAGGTAGACGGGGATTCATCCTGCAGAGCCCAGTGTTTGCCTTGGGCTGAGCTTGTAGAGATCTTCCATCGCAAGGTCAAAGGGTAAGGGCTAGGGTTTCAGGTTCATCAAACCGCAGCCCTGGTCCATCTGTTTAGTGTGAGGAGGAACACCAGTGTGGTGGGTGGGCAGTGATGGGTGCAGACTGGGGGACAGGGGGATGGGTATGACAGCTCCTCTTCTAAAGCCTCAGTTCCTCCGTTTAGTTCTGGCTCCACCACCTACCGGCTCTCAGACCTCAGTTTCACCCCATAAAATGAGGACAATGATGATGTGAAATGCATAGAGCTGTTATGAGTATTAAAATTAATCGCCAAGGCTGGGCATAGTGGCTCACGCCTGTAAATCCTAGTACTTGGGGAGGCCAAGGTGTGAGAATGACTTGAGCCCAGGAGAAACATAGTGAGACCCCATCTCTACAAGAAATAGAAAAATTAGCTGGGTAGGGTGGTGCATGCCTGTAGTCCCAGCTACATGGGAGGCTCAGCAGGAGGGTTGTTTGAGTCCAGGTGTCTGAGATTGCAGTGAGCTATGATGATGTCGTTGCACTCCAGCCCAGGTGACAGAACAAGGTCCTGTGTCAAAAAAACAAAAAAATTAATCAACAAGACTTTCTGTATACCTACTATGTGCTAGGAACAAGGTTCCAGTCCTAGGTAGGCATTTGCTGAGGCTAAAACCCCAGGCCTTGGTTTCCCCCTCAATGGCCTGCACATGGAGGTCCAAGTTACTGCTATGGCTGGCTCGGCAGCTCCTCCTGCCTCCACTCACCTGAAGCCTCACCCCCACCTCCCTCAGCTGGGGGTCATGTCCCTCTTTGAACTGCTCAGCTTGTAGCTGCCTCTCTGCCTGCATGTAGGGGCAGGCCTGGGATACCAGGCATTTCTGGGACCCCACAGAGCCTAGGCCAAGGACTTGCTGGTTTGGTTCTTGTTTAGCTAACACTCTCTCCTTCCATATTGGGCTGGGTGGGAGTTGGGAAATGCCCAAGGCCGCTTTCAAGTCAAAGCCAGAAGCACTTTGCTCACCCCTTCCAGCCCTCAGTGCCCTGCTGAGAGCAAGGATTTTTTCAAGGCTATAGTTTTGCCTCTAGGGAAACTGAGGCACAAGGCAACAATGGGTGTCCTGCCTCAGCCCCTCTAGGTGAGGAACCTATTCCAGGTGTCCGGTCTCTAAGCCAGGGAAGGGGGTGCGCACTACAACTCCCAGTGATGCCCGGGCTCAGGGGGCGGCTCCAGCCCCTAGCCAAAGAACCGGGCCCACCAATGGGAGCCCAGAGCGGAGCGGGGCGGGGCGGAGCTGCGGGCAGGCGGCCGGCGAGCGCAGCTGAGAGCCAGTAGCGCCGAGAGCGCTGGGTCCGGAGAGTCGCGTACGCGGAGGGTCTCGGGGTGGGCGCCGCGGGACCTCGCCGGGCCATGGGTAAGCGCTCTGCGACCCGGCCCGGAACGCGGCTCGGCGGTCCCGCTGGGAGGACTCAGGTGTCGGAGCCGGCTCTCCTCCAGCCCTCGTGGCCGTCGGTGCCGCTTTTGGGAGCGGACGGGGGCCTGGGGTGGGCTCCGGGGCGAGGGTGCGGGGGAGCGAGCCCGGCCCGTGGCACCAGCGCCCCGCGCCCGGGGCGGGAGGGGTGAGGCTGGGTGTCTGCGCGCGCTCTTCGAAAAAAGGAAAGATAAAAAGTTTTGGCGGCCAGGGGCTTCCCGGGCATTTATCTCGAAACTCTTTTCGCTGTCTCCTGCCTGAAATTTACCAAGCCCTGTACGGTTCTGTCATCCCACTTCCTGCTGCGGTTTCAATCTCGAGCTGGTCTCAGCTAATTTGTTGTGACAGCTGTCAGCAGCAGTTTCTCTGTCTCCCAGCCCCCTCCTCCGCCCCCCGTGACATCCCCGTGGGTTCTCAGAAGCCGCCGGCGCCGTCGAGAAGAGGCGTCGGGCCGGGTGGGCGCGCGGGCGCTTTCCATTGCGGCCGCCGTTTCCTGAAAGGGACCGCGCGAGTTTTGAAGAACTTGCTCAATGCGCTTTGAAGAATCAACTGTTCCTCTTTCAGCCGAGGGGTGTGCCGATCGTTCGGCGGTTACCAGCTTCTCGCCCGTACTTTTCTTTTCCCTTTTCTCGTTTCTTCTCTGGTGTCTCCCTTCTTGTCTCCTGCCCACCCTCCCCAGCCCCCGGCAGGAAAGAGGTAGCTTCTCTCTTTGCTCTCCTCTCCTTTCTTTTATCTGTCCTCTTCTTTCCCCCCGGGTTTCCAGGAGGGACAGGGTGGCGGCCAGGGAGTGGAGGGGGAAGATAGCGCAGAAGCGCAGGCTGCGAGTGCAAGCAGGAGGTGTTCGGCTTCGCGCTCGGCCCGAGCTGCGGGGGCAACCCGCGCGCCGCGTGTCGGTCCCTCCGCAGTGTCCAGGGGTCGCCGCCGGGCTGGGGTCGCGCCACTCTCCACGCCCCGCGGGTGCGGTCGGGCTTGCCGGGAGCAGGACCCCCGAAGGCTCGGCGCGTCCCGAGGTACTGCACTGGCCGGGCCCAGCGTCCCTTTGTTTGGGGAGTCTCGGGCTGGCGGGAAGGGGTCCTGCCGGGGCCTAGGGGAGGGTAACAGGTGCTTCTTGCTGCCACCAGAGTCTCACTGTTGCGAACCGACGCAGCGTCGGGGTCTGTGCCTACAGACGACGCTAAGGTAGAGGAGAGTTCCAGAGTCCATTCTGGGCCCCAGGACCCACCTGGGGCCTAAAACTTGGCATGGCGGAGGTAGAAGGAACCTCGGAGAATCTGCCTCTACTGTTCGGTGACATCTTGGACAAGTCTTTTAATACCTCTGAGCCTTGTTTCTCCAGAAGTGGAATGGGAATATAGGAAACGATCACAGAGGAAATTACTGTTATCATCAAATATTACCCAGAGTTGGTGGGGAGGGACGGGCAAGGGGAGGAGAGGTTTCAACCCCATCCTGGAATAGCATCTTTTAGGGCATCCCAGAGCTGGGTAAAGAGGCACAGGGAGCCCCAGGGGGGCTTGGGAGTTGGTAGTCTCACATTTGGTGCCCCTTGAACCTCCCTCCCTTTCTGTACCCTTTCAAGGCCCTCATCTTGGCTAGTTGCTCCAAGACTCTACCCCCCTCTCCCTCTCCCAGCTGATGTGCTGAGGCTGGGCTGCAGTGTGAGCTGCACTCTGCACCCCGGTGGGGAGAGGGTCCCATGTCCAGCTCCTCTGTCGCATTGCTGGCTCCAGCGCAGCCCTTGGCAGGTCCCTCCTCCTCAAACAACCCACTGGAGCAAGCTCCACTCAGAGACTCCACCAGGCAGCCAGCTCTGGGCCACGGAGTGGACTGGCTGCTTCAAAGGCTGTCTTTGTTTCTGTTCCAGCTCAAGCTCGGAGAAACTTAAGCCAACAACCTCAGGCGAGGGGGTGGGGCAGTGTCTGCTGGTTGTTATTGAGGCTGCTGTTACCATTATTGTGGTAATTGACGCAGTGTTCCCAGTCAGTAACTTTTCATGAAAGGAAGTGTCACTTCCTTCCCATCACAGGGAGGGTGAGTGGGGCGGGCCAGAGAAGGGGGGTGTGTGAATCCCAGCAGGCTGGTGAACCCGAAGGCTGTGTGGCCTTGGACTAGTCATAGCCCCTCTCTGAGCATTAGGGGCATATAAGATTAAGTGTGCCCATCCTGCATCCATGGGGCTGATGTTTCCAGAGCACCTGCTGGGGCGGGGGCAGTGAGGTACCCTGGGGAGTGAGCAGGACAGGCAGGCTTCGGATCTTGCCAAGCTCAGCTGTGGTTCGTCGGGGAAGCCTCATTTCTGGCTTTCTTCTGCTTAGATAACTAACATTGCGCCGGTGGAGGCTAGCATGCTCGTCTGATAAATGGGGAAACTGGTACAGAAGCAGTGACTGACTTGGTAAAAGACACACCTGTGTGGTGCCAGAGCCCCCTGCCCCATCTCTGCTCTTGTCCCACTCTCATCTGATGTCAGCCCACTGTCTGGCAGGGCAGGGGGCAGGTTCACAGGGGCCCCCGGACTTCCCACCACCCAAGGCCGGGTGAGACATCTTGAGTTGGTCTTCCGTGACTCTCCTCTGCTGGGCTCCCCACACACAGCGCCTTCACCTTCCCCCTTCGCATTACTCCCCCACCCTTTCCTCAGGTAGGCTGAGCCCTGGCTAGGAGCTGGCCCCTACTCTCTCAGGTCACAGGTGGCAGTTTCTTAAAGGAATCCCAATAGATGTCAACAGTTTTGACACCTCCTTATAGTTATAGCTTAAGAGATATAATCTCCTTCCTCAAGATTATGGAGATAATACCCCTTATTCAAAGATGATGGGGCCTCAGGGCCAGGGAAGTTGATTTACTGGTGAGGGCTATAGAAGCCCTGCCTCCCACCTCCCCCCGAGCTGCCCACCTCTCTGAGGGTGCAGCGTTTTTGAGTGGTCCCCTCCCTTCCTGGGGCATGGTTGCCTTAGCAGTCAATGCAGACCAGCTCATGTTAGCAGAGCAACGGGTGATGTGCTGGGAGCCTGCAGATTCACTCAGGGAAAGCAAACAAGTTTGCACCCTTTGAGCACAGATAAGGAACTTGGGGTGTTCCTGTTCCCACTAAAAAAAAAACCCAAAAAAACCTCTAAGCTGGGTGCAGTGGTGTGTGCCTGTGGTCCCGTCTGTTTGGGAGGCTGAGGCGGGAGGATGGATTGAGCCCAGGAGTTTGAGTCAAGCGTGGGTAACATAGCAAGACTCCATCTCCATCTCTAAAAAAAAAAAAAAAAAAAAAGAATAAAACTCTAGATCTCAGGATTCAGGGCTTTAGAGAAGTCAGACTGCTGTGGTTCTGAATCTTTTCTGTGCCACTGGTAAACTGTGTGACCTCAGGCAAGTTACTAAACCTCTCTGAGCCTCAGGTAGTACATCTGTTAAAAGGGAGAAATAATACTCACTGGGTGGCTGGGAAGATTTAATAAGGCAATGTACAAGATGCCTAGTCCTAGGCCGGTGAGAGCTGATTGGAGTTGGTGAAGTGAATTGTGTAGAGAGGGAAGTAGGGAATGACTTGAGAACGCCTAGACCTGCCGAAGCATCCTCTATTGGAATGAAGGACTGAAACTAACCTCTTTACTGCTGTAGTTTTAGGATCTGGGAGTTGAGCTTGACTCAGACACAAGCATGGAGTTGAACAGAAATCAGATTCATACACAGGAAGGGCCTTCAACAAGCCTCTGGCCCAGCACCCTGCCACACCCACTCGTGCCTAGTGAGGTCACTAGGCCCCAGGCTCATCTTCTGGTATAGCCACCTAGCCTCCCTTGGTCCTCTTCCCAGCAGTGAAATGAGGAAATCAGAGGGGGCTTGTGAAGTCTTACTGTTATCAGGGCTTTTCTAACACTATTATCTAGCTGCACAAAACTCGAGAAACAAACTAGAAATAACCTCAACAGGAAAGGCACAGAGCTTTAAGAAGGAACTTCTGAGGACTGCGTAGGGGAACCTGAGTCATTGGAAACATGTGGTCCCAAAAGAAAGATGCAATATCGTAAAGGTGTTATTTCTCCTCAAAGTAGTTTCTAAACATAAATGCAATCAAAACCCTAGTGTTGTTTTTTTGTTTTGTTTTGTTTTTTTTAAGAGAATGTTACCAAAATATCCTAAAGTTCAGATGGAATATTTTTAAAAGAAGGGTACTATTGGGTTGCTTGGCCTCTGGATAGTAACTTGTTTTACAAAGCTACAAAAATTAAAACAGCGTGCACGGGTCTCAGCATTCCACAGTGGTGAAACAGAAAAGAAAGTCCAGAAATAGTCCCAGATGTATTCCTTGTAAGCACTGAGATTGTGGGGAAAGTAACATTTCCAGTCACTGGGGGATGGAGTCGCTCAGTCAATACGGGGACCACCTAACCAATGGGAGAAAAAGGTGGTTAAGATCCCTGTCTCACACCTTATACCAGAATAGATTCCAGATGTGTAAAAAGTAAACAGTGGAACAGTCATCACCATTATCATCATTATTGTTTCCTGGATGGAAAAAGTCATGTCTGAATGACATTCTTGTGGAGAGCAGTTTTCTTTCTTTCATTGGATCCACCTCCCCGGCTACAAATGGGACATCCATGGCGTTGTGCAGGGAGGGACCTACACGCGCAAGCTCAGAGTGAGATCGGAGTGAGACAGGAACTCGGTGCTGCCGCTGCAGCAGTCACGCAGAGGCAAGCGGGGTTCTCCTGCCTCTGAGTGGGGGAGCCGGAGGACTGGGCCTCCTGCTTCATAAGTCCCTTCCCTGCGCTGGAGCACTGGGAGGGGGCTCAGCCCTGCTGTGTGTTGGGAGGTGCGAGAGCTGGGAGCTGGCAGACAGGAGGACATGCCCATCATCTATGGCAGCGGGTTTCAAACTTACTTTTCACAGCAGAACCCTTTTTACAAATGAGGATTTACTAGAACCCTGATCTATAAGTGGTTGG